TTTTACTCATGGCTACTTCTGTACCTTTAGAAAGTTTTTTTTGTGTGTATGTGTTAACATCATCCAAAAACTTCTCTAAAACTGTGTAATTAGCCAGTGTGTGTGTGTGTGTGGGGGGGGAGTCTAGCCTTTCTTTTCACTTTTACTCCACCACAAGTATGATGTAGAGCGTTTTTGTTTTTAGTGGACCTGAACTGAGCCTTTCACTAACCCCTTCGTTTTAAAATGGTACTGTAGTCTAACCAGCTAAAGCATTTTTGAAGTCGTCAATTCTCTTCATTAAGCTGGAGGGGAATGATGTTTAAGTTTGGCCCTGGTTCACAAATAATCACTTAGAGCAATTACAAAATCTTTCGGCGTTTTTTGAAACTTGAGATAGACTATTACGGATAGAAACTGGTATGTTTTCATGCACTAATTGACAAGTTTCAACTTGGTAGCTTCATCTGGAGAAGTACTAGATGTATTGTTTTTTAACATATAACGGTGTCATTTTTATTTCAAAAAAAAAAAACCAAAAACATGCAGGTATGGGCTTATTTTGCCAAAGAAAGCACAGCAGTTGCACCCTGTTTTGCAAAAACCATCAGTATTTGGGAGTGATTCTGATGATGATGATGAGGTAAGTGAACCTGATTTTTCTATTGAACTGTTAGAATTACAAATTTTTTTTATTAAAGCCCCACAGTGAGATTGTTGTCTTTGCTTGCCTTGGTTGTCGACATTGTATCTGGAGTAAAAGGAGAAAGTTTCACCACCAGTTTTTTTCTTTGTAAGTGATATGTGAATAATCTAAGATTTTTTTCCCCCAAAGGTTATGAACTTCAGGTATTTTAAATAGTTATGCAAAGTCTTGTCAGACAAGTAATAATGATGTGACAAAATTGTTGCAATGAGCCCTGGAAACCAGCTATTAAAATGTCTCCAATTTTGGCCCTCCCTGGTGGTGCAGAGGGTTAAAGGACAGCATGAAGAAGCTTAAGCCACTTAAGCATGAGTTCGATTCGCACCTGCCCCTGAGGTGAGGTGATTCACATGGCAAGGCAGACCTCTCCTGACCCTCCCGCTGCTCCCCTCAGTGGTGAATCCTCTCACCCTCTGCATCTCTGGCCTGTACCCCAGTTCTGTATGGATAAATAAATAAATCTTTTTTTAAAAAATGACATCTTTAAAAAAAGTCTCCAATTTCATAGACATTTTTATGATCCAAATAGTTTTCTGTAGGACTATTTTTTGTGGTGATTCAAATATTTGCTAAATGTAATCATTCAGTTACCACTGATAGTACTGTGGTATAAAATCTAATGTAACTTTTTTTTTTTAAAGATTAATTTTTATTTACTTAGGAATACAAAAATGGGTGTGGGCCAGAGATGAGGGAGATGAGAGGACTCAATAGAGTGGGGAGCAGAATAGACTGATTCTTTGAAAACTGGGGAGGGGAGCAACCTGTGAGGAGAGGTCTGCTGTGCCATGTGGGTCAGCTCCCTGGCTGATGATAGCTTGATGGCACTAAGACAGAGCCAATAGGGAGGCGCTAATGTGAGCATTTTATATTTTGGTAGCCAAAATGTGTATAGCAGAAACAACCCCACATGTGTTCTTTGGTTGTTTTCCCTATTTCTAAGAAATATTTGCATCATTTAATTGGTACTTTCTTTGCTCTCACAGAAAAATAGATTCTCTGTTTTTATTATTTATGCAATAAAAGATAACTGTGCATATTTGATACCTCTTGGCTTTCCTCTAGATGCTGAAGAAATTGACTCTGAATGCTCACAATTTTTAAAAATTGGAGTATAATGAACATATAATAAAATTAGTGGACTTTAACTGAACAGGTTGAAAACTTTGACAATTGTACACGCCCCTGTCAAGATGTAGTACTTTCGCACTCTATGAAAATTCTTCCATGCCCCTTTGCTATCTGCTGCCCCATACAGCTATCTATTGGTTTTTAATTTGCATGTCCTTGATGGTCATTGATGGTAGCCTTCCATTTATGTATCACCTTTGGATAAATGTTCCTTACTAAACATAGTTTGTAAATATTTTCACTCTTTCTGTGGGTTGTCTTTTCACTTCCTTAATAATGTCCTTGGAAGCACAAAAGTTCAATTTTGAGGAAGTACAGGTTTTTTGTTGTTACTGCTTTGGTGTCTTGTTTAAGAAACCATTATCTTATCCATGGTCACAAAGATTTATGTCTAATTTAAGAGTTTTGTCGTTTCAGCTCTTAGATTTGAGTATGTGATCCATTTGAGTTGATGTTTTTCACCCATTCTTTTATTTTTATATTTTACTTATTAGTATATATTTTACTAAAATTAGGTGTAGTCCCTATAGAATTTCAACCAGTTCATGCGTGCACAGTCGTCTTAGTCCCTTGTGCTCTTCTCCCTCTGATTTTGAGCCTTCTTTCTCTCTCCTGTTCAGAGTGTCTCTGATAATGTAGTTGTCTGATTATTTTTGTTTAGTTTTGTTGTGTTGGTTTTTTTTTAACTATTATTATTTTTTCTCTTAATTGGTTCCCTATATTCTTCATATACGTGAAACTATCTGATATTTTTCTTTTTCCTTCAACTTAACATCAGTGAGCATAAACCTTTCTAGTTCCATCCATGTTAGATCATCTTTTTTTTTTCTGAATAGTATTCCTTTGTGTATATGTACTACATCTTTTTGATCCTGTCATTTATTTTTGGGCATTTGGGTTTTCAGTTAATTTTTGTATGTGTTTTGAGTTAGAGTCCAACTTCATTCTTTATGTGTTGATTCCAGTTGTCCCATTACCATTTCTTGAAGATTGTTCCCCATTGAATTGACAGCATATTGTAGTTTCTTTTAATATGCAAATAATTTTTAAAATCACTGTACACAATAGGAAAATATGATTTGTTCAGCCTGTGGTATGTTATAGAGCAAAATATATTCTGGTTTGAGAAGGATGGATTTACACAGTTCATCTGAAAAGTTTCACACGGTTTCTTTTCCATTGTGAAAGAGGCTTTTGTTAGGAGGACAGTGGGTACACTAGAATCAGAAAAATTAGTCAATGATAGAGGGACTTCACTTAATAGTGGGATTGTAGGGCAGAGAATTGGGTTAAATAGATAGCAGAAGACTTGAGGTGCCAAAAAGAAGCAACCCATAATTAGAAGTATTAGAGTTGGGAAAAAGCTAATAGTGATAAGTGGAGGGATACAGAGAAGAGGTGGGTGTTGGGTTACCTACTGGAAACCCAGTTTCTCTAGAAATAGCAGCAGCCTCTGGTAAGAGGGGGGGTGTTTCTTTCACCCTCCAAATGCCATCTTTGTCTTTCATTAGTAGTACTCAGCCAGGAACCAACTGACATGGAAACTGCAGTTTAGTTCTTAACAGGATATAAAACTGTTCTTTAGCATGATTTTCTTAACCCTATAAGCTGGTGAATTCCACATTTGACTGAAAAGTAAACTTAACTGTAGTGTATTTTCCAAATATTTGTAAAAATTGAATGTAAAATCTCTCATTTCAAAATTGATACTAAATTTGTCAGTGCTTTGGAAAATGTAGAGAAAGGTAAGGTGGTTTTCCTCCTGGTAGGGTATTTGGTATAACTGGAGAGAAGCTGCTGTGAAACAAAGCCATTTATTGTATTTAGCACTTCAGCAGAAGAAATGATGAGTCCTAAATTAAGATTAGGCTTTCCTTCCAGGTGTCCAGCATGTGAATTCTGTTTGAATATGTGCATATATCCAGAGCTAGCTTAAAAATGGGAACATGATAGTCCAGAAATTATAATCGTTGTTTAAATAGTTCCTCTTTAAAAGGTCAGGACTGATTAGGATTATTTTATTCTAAGATAGGAAGGTTGAAAAAATTTTTACCCCTTATGAGTATGTGTGTGGGTTATATTATTTATATCCTAATGCTGCTGCCTGATTTTGTGTTTTTGATTGGTTTTACTGTGGTAATGTGTTTATTTTTTCCAGTCCATTCTCTTCCAGTTCCATTGCCACTACTTTCATTATTCTCTCTTGGACCATTTTAATAGTTTTGCAGTTAATTTCCTTATCAGCTATCTTGCTTCCCTCTAATTCATTTCAACTACAGTTGGTAATCCACTTCTAAAGAATAGTTCTAGTCATTATTATGCCATTGATCTTGCACCTACTAACTATCTAGACTTGCTTCCAAGAATGAGTAAAATTATTTACTTGGCGGTTTCAGCTGTCTCTTGTAAAGCCATATAGTAGGTGTTTTTATGTCTTGCAGATCAGCTGCTCAACTTTGCACTCTTGAAAGCAACCATTAGGTGATATGTAAATGGGTAAAGATGACTTTTATAAAAGGGGGCTGAATAAATTGACCCATAGACTTGTCACTTGATAATTCCTCATCTGTATCATGCAAAAGTACTTGTGAGAAACAGTTATTTCATGTTTTATAAGGTTGTTGGTGACTAGAATAGACATTGTATAGCCATGGAACTTCTTTTTAGCTCAATGATAAAAGCTTGCTTATTTTTTATAGCATAATGAATTTGTTTTTTAATCTTGGCAGTTGAAATGCTTATTTCTAGATAATGTTTTTGTGAGATCCAAATTTGCAGTGTTACTCATATGCCATGGATAGTATCTATACAGCCCAAAATTTATTGCTTTTGGATTAAGATACAAAAGTCCTTGATATTTTTTAAAGTGATTATTAGGTTAAACTAGATTGCTAAAGTTTATATATGTCCATCAAATCTGTCAGATAAATGGTAGATGATATCAATGGTTGCAATTTGAGTCACTTGGAAGCCATATTTCAATCCATTTATGGTTTAATAGTGTTAATTTTCACAATTTATATTAAAGTTTTAGGAAGTTTCATGGTGGTTTAAGATAACAAAAGCTTAGAGCCAGTCTAAATTTCAGCAGTGCAAAGCAAGGCTAAATAGAGTTTGCTGCAATGTATATACAAAATTGTTAACTATCAATGGAAAAAAAGGGAAAGCATTTTCGAATATTAATCATAGCTGTCTGTGTGGTAGGTTTATGAGTGTTATTTTTATATTTTTATGTTTTCCAAATTTTCCAGTTTTGTAATTGAAAAAAATATTTATTTAAATAATAGTTTATTTTTACATCATTTTGTGCATTTGTTCATCTTAGTTGTAATCCCTGTGGGCTTGCATCACCAAATCACCCATATGCCATCACCATAGTCCAGTGCATTTCCCTTCCCCCACTGTTATTGATCCCACTCCCCACTTTATCCCCATAAAATGTTTCTGGTACATAGCTGTTCATTATTATTATTTTTTCACCTGGTCTGTTATACTCCTGCTATGAGTGAAACCATCTGGTATTTTTCCTTTTCTTTCTGGCTTACTTCACTAAGCATGATCTTTTCCATCTCCATCCATGTTGCTGCAAAAGGCATGTGCTTATTTTTTTTTTTGGTTGCTGAGTAATATTCCATTATGTACATGTACCACATCTTTTTAATCCAGTCTTCTACTTCTGGGCATTTGGGCTGTTTCCATGTTTTGTCTTTCCAATTGTAAATAAAGCAGCAGTAAACATAGGGGTGCCGGTATCTTTTTGAATCATTGTTTTTCTATCTTTTGGCTAGATACCTAGAAGTGGGATT